CTCGTGTCCTGGACACCTCCCGAGGGCCCCCCTTTGAGAAGCTTCAGCATTGGAACCTGGAGGGGACTGGGGGCACATTCAGGCCTCAGCAAATACTCAGAGTTCTCTCATATCTGATATTTTCTATTAAGCTTCAGTATACACAGCCATTGGGGATGGCCCCAAACCAATGGGAGAGGTTCCCACCACCACCACTTGTTAAATGAACTTCAAGTAGAGGGTAATGGAGATTAATGCACCTGGATACTGGGCTATGATCTTCCTGAGGCCGCTCAGGGTCTTTTCAGGCCACAAGTAGACAGAGGACTAGACCTTTCCATTCCTCCTCTGCTCTGCTGGACTCCAAGGCACTGGCTTTCTCCAGAAAGGAAAATTAAAAACACAAATTCTCAAGTGGTTTGATAGTAATTCAGCCCAACAGATTTTACTTTCCATTAAAAGTCACCAGCTGTCATGTGCTTTGCTGTAAATGGAAATAACTCACTCTCAAAGAACATTTTTCAGTTGATGTCACTTGTGAGTTTTATTTTCTCCTAATGAAAAATGGATCGGCATTAATGTGGCTTTGGTGACAGGAAACCCCTGGACAGGGGCCTGCTTGGTGATCTGTCCCTGCCCTGAGGAAAACCAATTGCTCTACCAGCCACTCGGAAGGTGGACACTGAAGTCAGGAAGGGACATGGAGCTGCAGGGTGGGGGTGATGACTGGTCTTCTTGCAAGCAGAGTCCCACAGTGCTTCTTCTCATCAAAGAGAAATAAAAGGAAAATTTAATAAAAATTGCTTTGAGGTAGTGAGGAAGTTTCGGAGAGGGGGTGAATATCTTAATGTGATACATTTTTAAGGCAGCAATCTTCCGAGCCCCTGATATATATGTGCCCAGAGCCTGTGCATCTGAGCCCCGACTCCTACCATACCTCTGCACTAGGAAGCAGCTCTGCGTCCCTACTGTGTGCACACAGATCACAGCAATGGGAGGGATCTCTTTGTGACTGTTAAGAACAAAACAAAAAGAACCACTGGGCTGAAGCTCCTAGAGCCTGAACAGTGACCGTGGTCACTCTGGGACTCTGAGCTCTGTCTCTGAGTCATGCCATCAGCACCTTGACAGACCAAAAAGACTGGACTGAGGCCACCAGAGACACAGCGATAAACTAGGAAACTGAGAAACTAGGAAACACTGACATCTCCAGAGCGAGCAGGCCCCCGGACCTGAAGGCAAGAGAGGTGTTTGAAACTGCACTCTTGATAGGCTTTCTCGCCTCCCTGCATATAATCACACACACGCACATGCACATACACGCTTGCCTCCATGTCCACACACATGAGCATCACACACTCGCCACTGGGAGAACCCACTGAAAGGGCAACCTCCAAACCTGGGGCTATACCCAAGGGCCAGCCTGGCCCAGGCAAAGCATCCCCAACCTCCTGTTGCTAGCTCACCCCTTAGAAGTCTCCAAGAATTCTTGAATAATGTTTTTGACAGGCACCAAAGCCTTTTCCTCCTCTTGCGCGTGGAAAGCTGGGGCTCTCCCCAGAGAAGACTCCCCTGGCAGCTCCTGTCTGAGCAGCTGGGGCCAACTCCAGGAACACTAAATTCTGGCTGCTCTTCCAGCCAAGGGCTGGTTACTTTAGAACCCCTCTCCTCCCCCACTCTTTTCAAGCAGGAGCCAGCCAAGGTATTCGTCATATTTCGGAGCTACCCTGCTGCTTGATTTATGCACACAGGGCAGAGGCCAAGGCTGCAGAGGGAGGGAAGGCAAGCTCCAGGGGTGGGGGACGGTGGTGCGCTGGCTCCTCCTGTCACCCCAGGGGTCACTGCTTTTAGGATCGACTCTGTATGCAGCTCAGGCTAAGGCACATGCTACCTCCACAGCCCAGGGACCAGAGGTGAACTGTTTCTCTTGTTCTGAGATCCGTCCATAAAAGGAATGAATCTTCATTTGTCCTTTCACTGGGCTTCACCCTAAAGTCTTTTCCAAAAATTTCCAGCCTTCTCCTTCAGGACGTTGAATGTGGTCTCTTTGGCCAAAGAGAAAACAAGTAACAGATGAAGCGCTTGCAGATGAGGAGGCCAAAACCAAGATGTTAATCACCTCCAATCTGTGCTCTAAAGGCCCGGCTCTCCGCAAGGGATCTTTTCTTGAGGAAACTCGGGTTTGCTGCTGGTGCTGGGGAACACACCTCAGGGGCCAACTGCAATGACATTGTCCCGCCGTGTATTGCATGTGCCTGTTTTGATGACTTTGAAAGGCTGAAACACTGACTGCTGCTCTTGGTTAAGCTCAGACTTCTACAACATTCCCATAAAAGCGCAAGGCACTGTCCTCCAAGATGAATAAAAATGCCTCTTTTTATTTCACTGCATGTGAAAACATGAGCTCACTGGAATATATTTAGAGTGAGATTTGGCAGCCTGCACACATTTACAATCCTTGGACTCAAAGCTCTGATGTAAATCAGAGGCTCTCTCACCTTTTCTTTCTCTGAGAAGGTAAATGCTGATTCCAGGAGTTTATAATCTTTCTTGATAGCTCGGGATGGTTAACTTTGCTAAGTGACCAACCATATCCTCAGTACTGATGTCCGGCTAGTGAGTTTTGGGGTCTCACATAACAATTAAACCACTGCAGTGGCTCCTTCCTCCTGACCTCTCTGCTCCGGGGCTCAGCAGTCTGAAAATGCCACCCCATCCTTGGTTCTTTGCATCATGTCCCAGCCAAATCTATTGGGTAGGAGTCTAAAATGTCATTGGAGATGGACTTTGCTTTTACTCAGACCTAGGATTCCTGCTGGAGCTTCCAGGATTAGGGAGCTCTAGGGTTCTCAGCACCCTGTCTCCTTGCACTGCCCCATTTGCAGGGCGCTGTCCCCAGCCATGGCTGTGCTAGTGTCCCAGAAAGCTTTAAAACACACTAACGCCTGGTTCCCTGTCCCCAGCGATTCTCACTGTATTGACGTGGGGTGCGACTAGTGTTGGTAACAAATTATACTGTGTTTTTAATTGTTTTTCTAAGATTACTTAAGCATAGGAAAAGATTTGGAAGAGCAATATGTTAAATGGCTATTTCTAAATAACAGAATTAAGAGGAAATTTTATTCACTTTCATGCTTTTCTGTGCATCTTTTTTTTTTCCCAACAAAGCAAATTGCCAAGAAACAAATTACTAATATTAGATGGGTTGGTCCTTCCTATTTAAAGGGAAAGATATTCAAGATACACAAATCATAGCTCCTCATTTTCCTCCCTAACTTGATTTCATCCTACATCCTCACTTCTGAAAACGGTACCAGGTCTGCGCCAGCTACCCACACACAAGCAGTCATCCTGGCCTTCTCCGTTTCTAAGTTCATTCCTCCAGCTATTCATAAAGTCTCTCTATTCGGAATTTTATTCTTTTGAAACGCTGAATATCTAACCCAGAGCCTCAGGCACAGGAGGCCAGCACTCTACGCCTGAGCTATCCCCTCGTCTAGTACATTCAATCCTTTTTTTGTGGTACTGGAAATTGGACCTAAGTCCTCGCACGTGGTAGGAAGCGTTTTGCCTCGGAGCCACATCCCCAGTGCTCTGTGACACAGAGTCTAAGTTATCCGGGATGGCCCTGAATATGCAATTTTCCTGTCTCTACTTTTCCCCACGTCCCCCCACCCTCACACACACACACACACACACACACACACACACACACACACACACACCAGCAGCTGGGGTGACAGGGACGCGGTGCATGCCGGCTCTTTCAGCTTCTCCATGCTTCTCCAGGTGCTCCTCGGCTTTCCGCACAGGGGCCTCCCGATGCTTCCCCTGTGTGTGTCCCATCTGCTTGCTTCTCCCCACAGTAACAGAGGAGAAGGCTCCACAGAGGACACACTACAGTCACTGTGGTCTTCCCTGTGCCCCAATCTGCTCCTGTCACTTCTTTTTCTGTTTTCTATACTACTCTTCAAGCATTTGCATGGCTTCCAAGGCCCCACATGGCCCAGCCCTCTCCCATTTAGCATCTCTGGTCTCATAGTCTCGCACCCTGCCTTTCCTGCCAACCATGTACAATAGTTGGGGGTCCCCAGGTGTGCCCATCTCCCTGACTCCAAGGAGCTGTGCGGTTCCCAGCTTGGAATGTCATGTCCCCGGTTAACTCATGCTCTGCAAAACCCACAGGGGCCTCCTTGCCAACACTTTCCAAACCTGCATCCATACAGGGTGGAAACCACAGCTCTGCTGGGTTTAAGATGAACCACTCAGCTCTGCACAGTCTCCCATAATCAACATTTTCTAGAAAGAAAGCAGACTCAGAATGTGTGCGTTTCACTTCTCTGGAGGAAATATAAATTCACTAATCCCTTCCACTTTAATCAAGCCTGGGAGGAAAGGGCTGCCAGGGGAACCTTTCCAGAATGTAATCAGCAGGGAAAACGCAAAGCCACCTGCCTGTGACTGGCCAGCCAGCAGACCACATCCTCAAGCTGTTTACGGGCAATGCCTGAACTCGTGGCTCTCAGCTCTGCCAATCAAGCCAGTGTGGGGAGATATTTCTCTAGGGTAGAATATATTAGGTGGCTGTGTCCCTAGCACATCTGTAGTCAACCTCATCTTGTTCTGTCCCATCTGACTCAGAGAAAGCTCCCGGGCCCCTTTCTAAGCAGGGTCAGAGAGCATCTTCCCTGCCCCTTTCCTGGAAGCTTGCAAGGGAGAACTGGGAGGGGCCAGGGAACACCCCACCTCTCTGAAGCCCGGCGCAGACACTGCCCCTCAAGAAGCAGGAAGTCTCAGCTGAGCTCAATAATCTCTTAGCAGGCACAAGCCAGTACTGTGCTAAGGACAAACCGGTATTATGCTAAGAGGGGCTTGGGCGGGGATACCTTAGACATAGCTAACATCCACACATCCACACCTAACCAAGACCTCTGAGAGACAGTGGCAATACTGTGCCACCGAGTTCAGCAAAGATTGTTTCCATCTGGAAAGCAACTGGCTTCTTAGAGAAGATGGCATTAGGCTGAATCTTGAAAGGAGAGTAAGATCTGGGGGTTTTAAATCATAATGACAACTGTCAGGTTGAGTTGCATGAAATCGCTGATATTTTACTGGTTTTGACTCATAATAACATTGGTTTCAGCAGGTTCAACACTTACCAGCTGCCATGTGGAGGTGGAAAAACATTGATTACAGAAAGAAAACAAGGCAAAAGTAATTCAGAGTCTATCAGCAGATGGGAAAAATTTATACTTTTAGTCTTTTGATAACATATCAACAGAAGTGGATTAAAAACAAAGAAATTAAGATGTATAATAAATATGTTCCAATTCCCCACAAGCGATGTGAACCTAATGTATTACAAACACGTATGAATAAAAAAATTTTTAATTTAATTAGACGTTGATAGAAATTTCCTAGGAATGCCATTTCCTACTATCTCGTAAAGAACTAAGTAAGGGCACAGTAAGCGCTGTTCTCTAAAGCTAGTCCAAATAAGACTGTGAACTTTACAGGCAGACTGAAAGGTCAGTCTTTACAATCATAGGAAGGCAGGAATGCATCCTGAATCAGAAAGGTAAGAGTTTAAATCCCAGCTCCACCTCTTACAAATCATGTGACCACCTTCATAACTTTCCAAGCCTCACTTTTCTCGCCTGAAATGAGATGGTGCCTGCACATAGCTTAGCACACTTCCTGGCCCATCGGAAGCACACAGTAGGGCTGGGGATATAGCTCAGCAGCACAGCGCCTGCCTGGCAAGCGCAAGGTACCGGGTTTGATTCCTGATGCTGAATAAAAATATTGCTTCATATGTAGCAAGTGTAGAGGAAGCACACAGTAGCTGTCATAAAGGGGAAGGGGCATGGTGGCTTATGCATTCAGGAGGCTGAGGCAGGAGGATCACAAGTTGGAGTGTGATCTGGGACACATGGCAAGTTTGAGACCAGCCTGAGCTACACAGTGAGACTCTGAGACAGAAAGACACAGAGATAGAGACAAGACAGATACAGAGTCAAAGAGAGAAACAGAGACAGAATAAGGACAAAGAGATACCAGGTTGATGAGTCACAAAAGGAGTTATACCTGTTTGCCTAGAGCTGTAGCACATTCCAGTGGAGGCCGTGGTATTATAGACAGCTCAGATAGGTAGAAATGTTATAGGCCCTTGAGGGAGTCAGTTTGGGGCATCAAAACGCATCACAACTGTGGCTGGAGTTACATTTGTTGAAGGGCAGCCCTCAAGATAAAGATGGAATGACCAGGTCTATATGCCTCCCCTCTCCCCACGGGATAAGCAGTAAATTGAAAGTTACACTATAATGGGTATCCCTGGTCCAATAAAGTGTAGATAGACATCAGTCACCAAGGAGGGTGGCCAGGTCCTCCTGATCCATCCCTTCCTAAAAAGGTCTGTGTTCTTTCCATGTATACCTGCTACGTGACTTACTTCCCTATTGGATCAGGCTATACTCACTATGTTAGTGGTTGATCATAGTTTTGACCCACATTATACCCACCTCGTGATTCTGTACCTAGCTTGTGATTCTGCTCTATAAAACTTCCTCTGTAAAGTGGTGTCCCTGGCCACCCACTCTTGGGTCCCCTCCTATATCTCAGGAGCTCTCAAATTTTTCCTGCTCTTGACCTCCGTTGTTCCTTAGAATTCACTCTTCGATTTTGGGGAGACAACCTTGCTGTGTCTGACATCTAGCAGGGTGGGAGTTACATAAGTATCATTTCCTGTCTATCAGTAGGACTGTGGCCTACTTTAGTCATCGGCAGCAGAAGAGAAGAAAATAAAAAGTAGTATGTGATGCTTGGGTTTCGCAGAATGAGAACAGGAAGCCCGACTCCGTCCGGTCCTTGTGCCCACCGCCGGGGCAGGCTGGCGAGGCGCTGAGCACCGGGCCTCTCCTGGCTGCACCGCCTGGCTTGGAGGTGGACTCTTCTGGCTAAAAGGTTTCTACTCCCACGTCAGCCACGGTGGATCTGTTCCCAGGAAAACAGTGGTCATATCGGCAATGGGCACCAGAGGGTCAGGAAACGCAGGCGCTGGGCTTTCCAGGAAAAGAAATTTTGGCCACGCTGGGGGAAATCCACAACCCAAGAAGGCCCGAGGAGGCACACATCCTTCACCAGCGGGGCCAAGATCCGGCCAGGCCAGGATGGGGCTGCTCCCGCTGCCTGACTCAGGGCGGCTGAGCTCACCCAGGGCAGCTTCTTCCACTTCGTCCCAAAGCACTGACCTGCTGGGGATGAGCGCTAAGTCCCACAACCATTGGTAATACTGGCTTGTGTGTTTTCAAATACTGACAATAAGAATTTTTAAGCAACACTTGGAATTCCCAAGTTAGCCAGATGTGAGATGGGGTGCTGGTCTGGGAAAGACACAATGTCCAGCAGCCCTTGTGGCCCACCTGGCTGCCTGCTCTCTACTGTTCTTCCCCAAACAAGCGGATGGCCGGGCCAGCTCTTGCCTGATGCAAGTTCCAGGGTAGCTGAGCTGGGATCTTTCTATCTTTCTCTTCATCTTAAAACATCCCACCCCACCCCACCCCCAAGAGCTAAGGGAGCTGAGGGCGGAAGCAAGTTTAAATGCCCTGGGATGGTGGTATCTTTCAGGGAGAGCACGCCACTCTATGCAGACCTAAGTGTTTCCCCTACCCCGTAACGTTTTTGTTCAAGCTGCCATTTTCCAGTCCTGCTGACAAGTCTGCATTGGCCCTGGGTGGGAGAATCAGCAGGGACAGCTGGCGGCCCAGGCACTGGCCTGGTGCATTGACACCTGGAAGCCATCTGGAGGCCTGGAGACCACTGCACACCGCATGACCATTTCCTCCTCCCCTCAGAGGTGACTGCAGGCCAGAGCTCCTGCCACATGAGGGAGGCTCCAGACCCGGGCACCAGGGAGGCACCTATCCTGTCCCTACCCCTTCCCAGCAGACCCCTTGACACTGGCCTCACCTCAACTCACCCAGGGCTCTGTGCACGGCTGCCCCCAACATTCAGTCTCCCACTGTGACTTTCCTTGAAACACTGAGCCCCACGGCAACCTCTTCTGCTTCAGAAACAGGATCTGCAGGCTATGTCAGAGGACCTGGAGCCTGACAGGAGACGACTCAAGTGGAGCAGGAGTGAAGATCCTCAGGATTAGATGCCTGGAAAAGGGATAGGACCAGATCAGAAACAGCTACGTACGCAGCAGGATGGCAGTCACTGTTCACTCAACGACGTGGGCAGGGGAGGGGGTAGGAGGTCACTGTAACCTTTGTGCCAATTTCGGTGGTGTAAATACCTCCCACTCTGCCAGATTTCAATCTACCAGTGATGTACTATCCAGCTCACAAAAATATCATGAGAACTTCATCAGCTCTCACACTGGAAAGAGCTAGCTCCAAGATGCAGCTGAGTCATTCGCCACATATCAGCCTTCCCCTCCCTGGCACAGAAATCACCCTCATTCTCAGGCTGCGGGGACTACATTAATTAGTAACTCGGTCTCACTCGGCTCTTTGGGTGGCTGTTCTCCCTCCCCGTCCTCGTAGACAAAGGTATGGACACTTTCCAAAAAAAAGCATTCACAGGGCAGCCCGAATGAAAATGGAGAAGGTTCACATCACTTCAAGTGGATTATTAAAATGCTCCCTCCCTTATATTATTCTTTGGCCGTTTCTATCATCGTGGGCTTTTGTCTCCTGCTATCTTGCTTTTTCCTCTACTCTCTCCAAACTTGATTGACTCCTTCCTTTGTCACCAACCTCAAAATCCTTTTATTCTATCAGAGAGCACCTCTAGCACCCCTCCCAGTCCGGTACTGTTCGACCCATGATCAAGGCCACCAATCGCTAGCTCCCGTCTCTCTTTGGTTTCTGGCCATAGAGAGGATTAGTGACTACTGTTCACACCTGTGTTCCTGTCATTTGTAAAGTTTGACTTTACACTCATACCAATCTCACCCCAACAGCCTCTAAATATCCACATACAATTCATAGAGAAAAAAAAGGCGAAAATTTGCTTAAAACAATCAGACGGCCCTATGCACTTATTAGAATGCACAAATCTAAAACTCCAAATGCCAGCAAAGAGACGGAGTGACAGCAACTCACTGCTGCTGGGCTACAAAATGGTCCAGCCCCCTTGGAACACAGTTTGGCAGTTTCATACAAAACTAAACAGTCTTTTACCGAAAGATCCAGAAATCATGTGGCTTAGTATTTACTGAAATGAACTAAAAACATATCCACACAAAGACCTGCACATGAATGTTTACAAGGGCATTATTCAGAATTGTCAAAACTTAGAAGTAACCAAGATGTCCTTCAGTAGATGAATAAACACTGAAACAATGAAATATTATTCAGTGCTAAAAAGAAGTGAAGTATCCGCGGTAACACACCGTGAAAATACAGGTTCCTGAATGAAAGAAGCCAACCTGAAAAGGCTACACACTGCAGGATTCCAACCATGTGACATTCTGGAAATGGCAAAACTATGGACACAGTAAAGAGCCCAGTGTTTGCCAAGAACTAGGAGGGGCGAACAGGTGGAGCACAGTGGGTTTGGGAGGCAGGGAAAATATTCCCCACGATACTGTAGTGGTAGGGACTTGTATTTTACATTTGTCCAAAGCCGTAGACTTGCACAGCACAATGCCAAGCAGGATCCGCAGTGGAAGCCGTAGCTCTGGTGATAAGGATGACCGCACTGGCAGCTGACAGTGGGAGAGGCTGTGTGGGGCAGGGCGTGTATAACAGCTCTCCAGGTTTTCTGTTAATTTTACTGTAAACCTAAAACTTTGCTTAAAAAAAAAAGTCCATTTTAAAAATTCATGAATTTAGCAAACTAGATTATCATAAACATTTAACATTTATTGCAAACTTAAACACATCCAATCATTTGATTAAATTCATAAATAGTGGTTTCTCCTAAATTCTCTAAACATATTAAACATGCAAACAAAAATATGATTCCAAAGCTGTTTAATATAGTTACACTGAAATCTGTTATAAAGTGCTAATACTGTGGATTTCACTTTGTTTCTCATCCTAAATTCCACACCTTCCTGGGCTGCCAACTTTGACACCTTCCTAGGATTTCAGTGACTTTACCAAATACTATTTTTACCTTCCTAGGATTTTAAACAATATTACCAGACCACAAGAAGGAAAAAAAAAGAAAGAAAGAAATACCTCAAGCTGCTGGGGCTGCAAAATGTGGGTGGGTGATTCAAACTACAGATAGTTAAAGTTAACTATATATAGTTAAAGTGTGTTACTTTGGTAAGACTTTCTCAGTCCACACCCTTGAGGAAGGTGTTTGAATTCTCCCCAAAATAAAATAAGTTCACATCTCACTTGATCACCATCACACAATCTGTTCCCTGTTGTCATGACGTACTGACGGAGCTGCTGGCACATTAAAATCGATCGGTCCTCATGCATGCTGTGTTATAACTTGTAGCTGTGTGGACTCTCACTGTCTAAGGACAGAGGCATGCAGTCTGTGTATTTGGGGCTCCTCTCTAGGCCACTGGGACCCCCTTTACTCAGTTGTCATGTGCGACCCCCACACCTGAGGAGCCCAGTCTGGGACAATGTCTCCATTTTTCCAAACTGCCTGACTCTGGGCTCCCTGCTATTAATTTTCATGCTCATGCAGAGAGCAAACAGCACATAGCTATACTTTATAAATACATATAATTAGGAAAAGAGACAAAGACTCTGTATGTAAGCAATGCCCTACATAAGAAGGTCCATGCAAATGAAAGTGTTCTATTCCATATATTTATGCTCCTTTTAATCTCTATATACTTAGTCTTTTTGCATTTGTTCATTTTTTAGTATTTTAATGAACCCATAGTCTGCCTTGACCTATGCCAATTAATGCTGGAGCCCCTGGGCAGCTCCTCTGTCCTGCAGCGATGCTCCTGACCTCCGGAAAACATTCATACTTCCTGCCAACAGCAAGATGTTCCAGGTCCATGCTGTGTGTTTTCCCTGCCTCGAGACATGGAATCAGTTGTCCTCTGAGGAATCCTCATTCCTGTGATGGAGAATGCGATTAAAGACCACAGTGTGGATGCTTGCAGTAGGTGTGTGTGAGGCCCCCCCACGGGGTGGGGGGCCGTGCGCTGGCCTGCTGATGACCAGAAGCAAGCTATTTGTTTTAAGGTTACATTGGATGCTACTCTTTCCAATTCAGTACAACAGAATGCACTGTGGCTTCCACCTACTTTTCCCCGGTACAAGGCTTCAGTGACCACTGAGACCTTGTCCACACAAGGTCCCTGACAAAAGTCAGCTCCCACCTTTCTCCCAGAAACTGAGCCACCACTGACCCCTTCGACACTTTGGTGTTCAACCCTTTGCTCCAACACACGCCACGGGAGTAGGGATGGGGCACATATTATCATAGTACTTGAATGCAGTTTCCTGGCCGTTGGATAAAAACTGGTTTTGAGAATGGGGAGGGTAGAGGGAGAAGGTTCATTGGAGAGTTGACTGCGACTCTCATTCTGAGCAAGTCTTTAACCAAGAAAGTGGCAGCAGAAGTAGAAAGGGGATGGGGCTGAGGGTCCCTTGGTGTCTGCACGGAAGAGCCAGAGGCTCATCCCACAAGTCTGGTCCTGGTCTTGGGGTGCACACGGTACTGGAGATACAGTAGGTGAGGGCCTGGGGTGAGTTTGGCTTTGACTTGCTGAGTTGGAGGCATTTCCTTTCCCATGGAAACATCCAGGCGCCAGGCAGATGTATCCCTTAGCATTTCTAACACGAACCACAGGCAGAGGAAGCCTCCCAAGCTTGAGGCAGGTGGCTTGGGGCCGTCTGTTGCCAAAGGATGCTCTCCAGAGGCCTTCGACAGCTTGGGCTATTTGCTTACATGGCTTAGGAAGACTTGGAGACTCTTCTGTTTTCCCAATTCTCATTTTGTCTGAGTCCATGCCAGGAATCCCTGATGTTTTCACTTAACGCCAGAGTTCCAACCAAAATTAGCAAACAGTGCAGAAGACTGGGCCCCAGAGTGAGGGGCTGACCTCTTCTCCCCATTGTCTGCCCTAGAGAATGAGGGACGGGAGATAGAGACCTGGAACCAGGCCACAGAGGCTTCTGGAGCAAATCCTGCCTGGTCCAGAAGATGGTCTTTTCCTTCTAGGTTTTCCTATAGATTTTGGAGCCTCTGGGCAAGGGAAAGACATCAGAGGCTAGGAAAACAGCAAGGTTTGCAGAGAAAATACCCTCTGCCACTTCTCCAGCAGCCACTGGTAGAGCTATGGGCCGAGTCCAGCATAAGCATTGCCTGTCCCAGGATGTAGCCAGGCCCCACCCTCTGGGAAGACAAGGTCACTTTGGCTGTGCAGGACAGGGCTTATCTGGAGAAACACAGTTTGAATTGAGACCAATGCTAAGCAGACTGTTTACCCTCAGGCTGTGGAGGGGCAACTTAGACCTCAGTTGTTTACCTAATCTAGTGTTTTTTATTTTTTTGCCATTTCTTGATTGCAAGAAAGTGCCAAATATAATCAGACCCTCAAGGCCACCACTGTTCTTTGTCCTGAGCCAGGAAAAAAAAAAAAAAAATCAGACCTGGAGAAGGATCACTTCCCAAGCCAAAGGCAGTCAGAGTGTCCTGTTGCAGCTTAGTTCTCACTTGCCCCGTATGGACCCACTCTACTGAGTTCAGTGTTCTCCTTGATCCCCTATTCAGCCTACACTCCCTGCCCATCCCCAATGCCCTCTCCTACTGCATCCCCAAAACTGAATACTGCTATCCAAGTATTGTAATACCTTTTCTAGTCATCCTCACAATCCAGAAAGTTGTATTTGTAATTCCACTGAAACGTTGTTGGAATCCTGGCACGTTAATTCCAATCTACCACCTCCAATACAACACACAGCAAGAATAAAAATACCAAGACATATTCAAAGTTACGTGTAGCAAAGGGGTCCTAGACCCGATCCAAATGAGGATATATGGACAAAGGCCTTGATCCAAGGCCTCTCCTAGAATTTATCTCGTGACAAACGGAGTGGTTCCAGGATGAGTGACAGTGAGGATGGTGAGAACTACGTGAGTAATCTGAGCTGGCTGGCCAGGTAGGGTGAAAAACATCTTTACCAAATACAGGGAGGATCAGGCTACATAATTCAGTTAAAGTAGCATTTGGATTGAATTAGGAGGCTGTTGCTTCAGTTTCTGATATGTAAATTTTTTGTGCAGGCTCCTACCCAGCTGACAGTGCTGGAGCTGAGTGGCTCTGCCATCCTACTGGGCTTCAATCTTTTACAGAGAGCACTATGTTAGTAAACAGCAAGCTGTCAGTGGGCCTAGAAGATTACATACTAGTACCTTAGCTGGCCTTAATTGCATCACTTTGAGCCAAATGAAGGGAGCAGGAAATAGCTTAGCCTGCTCTGTACCTAACAGTTTATGGAAATAAGGCTCAATTTAACTAATGTTGCAGCAATTGTTCTGCAGTCAAGGTGAATTGTTCAAATTGTCTCCTACATCTCTCCCTTTCTCGTCTTGCTCCAACAGGTTTAGTCACGGTTGTATGGTGGCCTCTAGTTGTCACCAGGTTGTGAACCCTCTACGATAGGATTTAATGAGAAAAATGATAAAGAATAGAATGAGCACACTAACTCTGATATAAAACCAAAAGTGAGATTTGAGATAGGCAAATGAATTTAATTGCTCCATAGCATCAGCAAACTTATCTTTAATTTAGATATCAAAAGTAGCTGTTATGACACAGACAGCACTAGTCTCTGAAGACCATCTATAGCCATAGCAATATTCTGATGGCTTGCTCCTTGTATATGTTTTTTGATCATTCCCCAAGGATGTAGGCTTTTATTACATGGTAATGGGGTGATACAAAAGCAAGTCATATTGTAGTGATACTTTAGAGCCTGTTGTAACTGCAAAGTTTCAATCTGATCTCCCATGTACAGGATGGAAGTTTCTAGAATGCTCACTTGGGTTTGTAACTTTATATCAATCTCTCACTGAGTTTTCCAGCTCTCATCACCAGCGTCTGTCCAATTATCTACAAAGTGAGAAATCTGTACTGAATGCTCTAATGCCATGGAGTCAGTAGCTGTGCTGGCTATCAAAACTACTAGGGAAGTAATCCCTGCAATAATCAACCCAAGCACCCTCTTGGTTTGATTGTTAAATCTTTTAATCAAGGTCCCTACCAAAAGGGCAGTAAGTTAATGATACCAAGGCGCTGTTGGATTGATTGGAAGCCAAACTGGGCATCCTGCTCATGATTATTTTTGTGGAGTTCTTAGAAATTCAGGTGTGATATAATGGATTAGATAACAATTAGTACATAAAATGTATTTTGTGGCCATTCTTTCCTATCAACAGTACATGAGAATCATAAAAGCATACATTTACTCTTATATACCTGTGATCTTGCAATACTATTTTGACTTTTCCTCCATTTACTGGCTGCAGATGCCTAGTCCGCAGCTGTCCAGCATGAAAAGTCAGGGCTAACTTCCATAAAGCATACTCTATAGGTCCAACCTTGTCATTGACACTAAGTCTATGAATAGGAGAATTAAGGTCTACTTGACCATATAACATCAGACAAGGCTTCTGAGGTCACTGTATTGTCAGGAGAGCCTGAAATAGAAGTCTCATGCCAATCTTGAGCCTTAGGAATCCTCTGGGGGACTCATCTATGAGTGAATAATTAAACTTGTATGTAATCTGTTCATGGTATGGGCCTCTCAAGACTGCCAAGGGCCCAAATCACCTTCTTCAAAATGAGGGGCATGGGGCTAGGGATTTAGCTCAGCAGCATAAGCGCCTGCCTTGCAAGCAGGCAGTCGTGAGTTTGATCCCTGTTACTGATAAAAAAAAAAAAAAAAAGAGGGGCGTGAGCTTCCAGAATACAGATCAGAATATTAAGTTTAAAATCTCCAATAAGGTTACCATCTGAGAGATGAAAAGCTAAGGTCCATAAGGTGAATTGTCCTTTAGACAGTTGTGTTTTCCAAGTCTGATCTACAGCCGACATACATGGGCTAGAATCCTGCTGTAGATAGGCTACACATAAAGGAGGATATATACAAAGTGAGAGACAAATGCATAAAAATATGAGGGCCGGGCAGAATAGTGTATGTAGGATTTTTGCTTTCTATAGAATGGAAAATTTCTGGTGGTCCATCTAGTTAGGGGCCTGAGCAGAGTGGATTAAGTATTTACCCAATACTCCTCTCCCTAAACCAAAGGAATACGTACAGTAACTGCCAGGATAGCAAGCATTTTAAAGAAAATTATCAGGTGATTGAAGCAACCTTGGCTGTTAAATAGGTGGCAAGCCCCATGAACGGTCTGCCACAGGCCTTCCCAGGACAGTGGATGATGTGCTGTGGGGCTGATCACTCGAGGGCTTGACATGTTGCACAGGTGGGTGAGATTCTGGCTCCGATAGTTGTAATGTGCACCAAAAATCTGGGGAAATACAAGCATATTCTCAGCCCCAATTTAAAAGTGATGCTAGACCCTTCCAAACACCTGTTCAGAAGTCATGCCAAGCTACAGGGTGCAGGAACTTTGGAGAAATGGTCAGATTCTTGTCCCCAATGTATCATGGCTGGCAGCAAATCAGAATCAAGGGTAGGAGACAGAAAGTTTAAAAACATTTGAGGAGCGTTATAACTCTGCATTGCCCCTTGTTTTTGTTCAGCTAATTGATTTTTAAATTTAAAATTACTGTGTTTAATTATTGATTGACATTTGGGACTATAGGATATTTTTGTAACATGCTTTATATCCCAGTTGTGAGGAAAACACTGAAAATGTTTACTAATATAAGCAGGACCAATATCAGGTTTTGTATATGACTCTTTTAAGTTAGGTTTTGTTTATGACTCTTTTAAGTTAGCAAAGTTTGATAAACAGGGTTGACATGTTTCCTTTGTTTACCTGAATGACAGGTAGGATGGAAGGTAGCTACAGAGGCATGAAAGTATTTAAGCTTGTTACAAGAGAATATATGGGTATTATTTATCAGGCATCACTGGCTAGCTGAAAACCTCTCTGACTGTAACTCTGTTGAGGGTCAGGCCTTGCCTGGCTTGTCTTACCCATCTCTTTACAGCACACGAGACCCCCCCTCCTTTCCTCTCAAGACTGAGCCTGGCCACCATTGTTCCAGCCTGTAATGACAGAGTCCTCATTTTATTTGCTTTTTGACCTGCTAGTCTTGCTGCTAATCTGCATATATGATAATTAACTCAATAGGACTTATAAGTGAATGAATGAATCTAATGCTGGCACCAAAAAAAGAGGGAAGGAAAGAGGAAAAAATAATTGAGATCTGTTACGTACATGTACCAATGTCCCACAGTGAATGTAATCGTTATGTACTTCAAGCATGTACTAACAAAAATAAAGTAATAATGGGGTCCTTGTCAACGCTCAAGACAAAAGGATGTGACACAGGTCTTGCCTTCTGGTAGCTTCTTACATGGACAGAGGCAGAATATAGGCATCGACTACATAATCCTAGCACTCTGGGAAGCTGAGGCAAGAGGATTGCAAATTCAAGCCCATGCAGGGGCAACTTAACTTTGTGAGACTGTTTCAAAAAACAAAACAAAACAAAATATAACTACATCACCATAAAAATAAGTGTTTGAGATAAATAAGTTACCTTGATTGGAGCATTGCGTAATGTATACATGTATCAAAATGTCACACTGTACATACATAAGCATGTATAATTTTTATGTATCAATTAGAAGTTTAAAAAATAGGGGCTGGGGATTTAGCTCAGCAGCATAAGCGCCTGCCTTGCAAGCAGGCAGTCATGAGTTCGATCCCTGGTACCGATAAAAACGAAAAAGACCAAAAAAAAAAAAAAAAGAACTTTAAAAAATAAATATATCTACAATTGGGAGGGACACGCTTCCCCAGGAGAATCAACAGCACACCATCTTCCCCTCCAGTTCTCTTTATGCTGTTGGCAACAATCCTCAGGTGGGCCTTCCACACCCAGCATCATGCTGATTCAGTTCAGCTGAGTGTTACCAGTTAGTTAATCCACTATAATTCACTGCTAGTTAACTTATAACCACACACAGTTCCTTAAACTATAGCCTCCATGGCAGATTTGTGACAAGCTAGCAGGTCTTAGTTTATTCAGGTTTACATTTAATAGAACTACATATATACAATTCTTATTGCACTCATTTAAGCACCAAAAGCAAAATATTCAAAGAGTGATCAAGATTCAAGGTTAAAAACTGTAACACTTTGACTAATTAACCTGATTGCAAGCATATACTAAAAACATTAAAATCCTATTCAAAGAGCTATCACAATCACAATCCTTGCTTCCCGCAAACTTTTAGCAGCACTAAAAACCAGGACTCTCCCACACTTCAAATACACTCTTCCCTTCAGGTAAAAGGTCTTAGGTTGTTTTTCATTGTCCTGCTCCTTCTCAACAACCACATTTTCCTGTTTCGTCCTTGCAATGCACAGCTCTGCTGGAGCTCTCTCTCTGGCCAAATGCTTCAAATCACCCTACTCACACTTCAGTCCTCATTTCAAACATAGATCTGGCCAAAGGCTCTCAACAGTAATCATGCCACCATCCCAACAGTACTGTGTTCTGAAATGTTTCTGCCATCCAAGCAATATCTCTAAACACAAGCAGAATGCAGACCGATTTCCTGCCAAAGCACAACTCACACCACCTGGGATCCAGCAGCCAATGCAATTCTCCTCGATAGAAGTCTCCTGAGCCTCATCCTACCCCAGCAGCATTTCCATCCGTGCTGATTTTCCAGGCTTTAACTGTAGTATCCCACATAGTTCAAGCGTACGGGAGTTGCCTCTTTGGTCCGTCTCTCAAAACCTTTCCAAATTAATTCCCAAAGCTCTTAAACCATTGCCAAACAACACCACAGCAATGGCCCCACTCCTAGTACCAAAATCTGTGTCAATCAGGGTTTTACTAGAGAAACATATAACACAAGCTCTACAAACGTATAATAAATTACAAGACTGGCTTACGATGGTCAGCCACAGAGTTGGATGAGGAAGAGTGCAGAGGGTGTCTGCACACTGGAGGCTGAAGGACTAATTCAGTCCGAGATCTGGAGCTCCCTGCAGGGTCCCGTGCTTGTCCATATCAGGAGGCCAATGGGTCTGCCATGGGAGGCTGACGAGTCTATGCCGGAAGCCAGGAAGCGATGCCCAAGCTAAAGGCGATGACTGGAGCTCCTCTGAAGAACAGAAGCCCATCCAGCCTGCCTCATTTCCCTTTTATACTGTCCAGTTGATGCGCCACCCTGGGGTCCTCTACACCTGGGCTGATTCAGTTAAGCTTCTAAACTCAAGCTGACACAATCAAGCACTACAGAGGGAAAAGAAACTCAAGTGTATAGAGGAAATCCTCAAGTACACTTAGCCTTTTGTCTTCCTTTGTTCTTCTCCTAAGAGTGTTTGTTTGTTTGGCTGGTTGAAACAGAGTCTCACTGTGTACTTTAGGCTGGCCTTGAACTTACTACATAGCCCAGGCTAGCTCTGAACTTGCGGCAATCCTCCTGCCTCAGCTTCCCAAGGGCTGGGATTACAAGCGTGTGCCACCATGCTTGGCACTCCCAGGAATATTTTCCTGTCCCCTCACCATCACTATGCCACCCCTACACATACTTCCACACTGGGTTGGGGTGTGAAGCAAGTTGGTTCCAATCTTCCTGAGTCTCCCTTACTCTCTGGGGTGGGAAAGTACAGCGGTCATCATCACTAGCACCATCGCTAGCACCTCAGGAGCTCGTGCACCCTCCTGAGTCCCAGCCCCTTGTTGCAAAATACCCACTCCCCGCACAGGAGGGCGCGATGGTCATTTGCATGATACACTCAGTATCTGCATGCAGGTGCCAACTTGCACTCCACCAGGTGCAAGCTGACACCTGTGCACTGTGTGGCCATCTGTCCCCACTCCGCCCCTACAGGAAAACAGGTTTCACGTGACTGAAGAAGGAGGCTCTCGCGGACAAAACTCAGGCAAAGCTGGCCTGCCTCCCCTTTCCGCATCCGCTGTCCATCCCTCCCAATCCTGACTCCTCTCACCAGCCCTGGCCTCTGTGTCCCTCTGAAACATACCTGAAGTAATTCCAGAGGGAAGCAAGAAAGGAAGGTAAGGTATCGGTGTGAAGACGTTCATCACATCTTTATTTAGAAGATGAGTTTCAGTCTTCAACTACTGGGGAACAGTTTAACTATGGGACCAAAACAAAAAATTATGAAAACGACCCTGCAGATATTAGGATGGAACGACATGAAGACAAGATTATGGAAACATGTCTATAAAGTTGTAAGTAAAAGAACACAGAAGTACTTATAAACAGTGAGTGGAACTAAGGGAAAAAATTGTATTTCTCCACCTCCAGTAAGTGAAAATAATGGTGGCAGAGGAGGAGGTAGGGTCATACATTGGCTTTTTCCCTTTAAATTCTTTTACTGTTCTCGTAAAGCTATAGTAATAATAAAAATGTCATATAAAATTTAAAATGCCAACCCTCTGGCCCATTCCATGCAAGCTCAGCAGGAGAGGATCACAGGTTGCCTTAGCTCCCCGGTCATGTACTTGGATCTGACGGATGTCTCCTGGAAAGAGACTCCTTAAGTAGAAGAAGAAGCATGGAGCAAGGTCCCTGCTGCACCAGCGCCTGGCACATCTGTCTCCTCCCAAGGCTGAAGAATTCAGGTTCCAGAGGCCACAAAGACAAGGAGCAAGACACTAACCGCAAAAGAAGAGAAGACTGTGATGGAAGAGGAAGAGAGAAGAGTTGGCACAGTGACCTGGGTGAGGCCCCTCTGGCAATCAGGGTGCTCCAGGAGAGAAAGTGGGGACTTTGGAGCATTAATTTAGATCCCAGTTCCATCACTTATAACCCAGGTCACTAAGAGCAAGCTATTAATCTCACTAAGTCTCAGTATTCTTTTCTGTGAAATGGGCACTTAATGATCCCCAGCTGAGTGTCAAGAGGCCGTTGAAGCCCTGTGTCTACACGTGGCAGGTACTGAGTAAATGCCGGTTCCCAGTGCTTCTTTTTCTTGGAGCTGAAAGGAAACCAAGGACACCTATGTCCAGGTCCGTGGAGTTCCCAGAAATCAAGGCTGGGATACAAAGAGCACCATGAATCAGGATAAGAGACAAGGAAACCAAGGAACTTTCTAAAGCGCCCAGGGTATGTGTAGCTCAGAACCTTCCTCTGGGAATTGTCTTTCTTCCATATTTTCACTGATGTGGTTTATCACAGTCTACATCACTGCTGATGACACAAGAACTCTAAACATGTTCCCAAGTGTGGGGTGCTCTGCCTGCAAAGGGCTTTTCCCACATGTTTGAGAAAGGTCAGAGAGTAGAGTGGTGAGTGCGGTTACTCGGGGCGGGCTCTCTCTGAACCCCACACGCACGTCAGTGCACCGTAATTCTCAGACTCCGAGGGGTGAGTCAGCGCTCATCAAGAGAAAACTCATCCCCAAGTTTCCTTGACTACATGTGACAATCTGACACCTAAGGTGAGAAATGCATGGCTAGAGGGACTCTCTCTGTGTCATTATTTTAGGTAAAATTGTAGGAGGCCATGGATCTAGACCCAGTATCTGGCTGAGCCCACCAGACCAAAACCATGCAGAGTTTAATCCCACTAGTAATCTCTGGTTGGCTGCAGAATGCCCTGGACGCAGTCGACTGACGACTGGCTGACTAAATTGTGGGAGAGGAAGTTGTCCTCTCTGTCTTGCTTCCATTTTGCTATAAAAGCCATCTGATGATGCTGGTTGGAGTTCTCAGAACCTTTGCTGGGAGCTGCCTGACTCATGAACCATTTCTCTTTCACTTTTCTTAAATCATTTAATTACTATGAAAGAAAATTTCCTTTTAACCCCTGCCATGTGCGATGCAGTCAGGAGCCCGGGCTGGGTTCCTGCCCTAATCCTACTGTGTGCACAGTGAGGGCTTTGGGCTTGAGCAGCGATTTCCACTCTGCTCACATTAGGGTCACCTAGAGAACAATCAAAACTGGACAAAATGATGCCCTCGTCAGAATCTGGTTTCATTGGGTGGAGATAAGGCTGAGGATGGGCATTTCCTTACAGTTTCCTAATTTACCTTCTTTCAGATTCGGCAGGATACTGTTGTGTAAGTCTGCTTTCCACTACGGTCACAGCTACCTGAAATAACCAACATGAAAAGTTGAAAGGTTTATTTTGGCTCACGCTTCGGAGGCTTCAGCCCATTGTTGCTCCAGGGCTTGTTGTGGGCAAAGCACATCATGGCAAGAGCCAGGGCAGAGGAAGCTGCTCACCTCCCTGTGTCAGGGAAGCAGAGAGAAAGAGAGGAGACAGACAGACAGACAGAGAGACAGACTGAGAGAAAGAGGGAGGAAGGGGCAGGGCCAGGATCCCAATGTCCCCTTTTAGGGCACACTCTCCATAACGGTGCTGAGCCCCACTCCTAAGGATTCCACCACCTCTCATGGCTCCCGGGCTGGAGACCAAGCCTTCATCACACGGGCCTTTGGCACTGGGACTTTTAAAGGAATATGAATCCCTGCGTCTCATGCCAGAGGTTCTCAGCCGTGACCCAGGAGCAGCCTGGATGTGGGTGGTTTTCCAAGCCCCTTGGGTAACCCATTTTTTAAAAGAAAATAAAACCTAACCAAATAAAACAGAATAAAGCCAATCAAAACAAAACAGTGAATGTAATACAGGACTTCAAAGCAAGATAATAAGAAATCAACAATTACTATCATAATATATCTTGTTATCTTCAGAATAGTTGTCCATACCATCAGACAGTAAAATCAAATAAAGCAAAACAGAATAAAATCAATCAAAACAGAACATTAAATAATACAAAACAATCAGGATAAAACAAAACACTGAGAACAATACTGGATTTCAAAAACAAGACAGAAGGAAATCCCCCATGTTTGCTATATTACATACTGTTATTCTCCTAGGAGATGCTTATGCTACCGGCCTTAGATTTGAAAAGTCAACCAAACAAGTGTCTAGTTGTTTTTGTACTTGAGTTGCTCGTCCTCTGAAACGGTGAGTTTCTTACAGGGTGGGGGTGCTTCTTGATTCTCAGCCTGCGTGCTGGGCAGCTCACAGGAGGAGCGAACTGGCTTCTGTCCCCCTGGGCCCCGCATGGCTTGCACAGCTTACAGGAAGGGTGAGCTGGCTTCTCCCAAACCCAGCATGGCTTCTGCCCTCCTCGGGTAATCCTAATGTGCAGCGAAACCCCATCTGTGAGGTGGCAGCTCTGCATGAGGCTCACACAGCACCAGTCGGGTGACGCCTGATTTTGTTAGAATTTTAGCCTCCCTGCTATCTGGGACCCCCACACACTGCACCACAATTTTCAAAGCCCATGGAGAAGGCAGTCATTCCCATCCGACACACTGCTGAGTGCTGCCTGGAGTCCAGGAAGGGACCTGGGGCCCTGCATGGCTGCTGACCATGGCGTCTCCGTGCTTCTCCCTTTGTGTGGGGCTTGGTGCTGAGTCCCCCTCACAGTGTACTCCTGGGGTCTCACAGAGCACTTACGGGAGTCACTGTCTCCTGGTCGTCCTGTCCCCTCCTTAGGACAACCCTCCTGCTCTGCCTTAGGCTGCGTTCTTCCCCAGGAGGCTCCTGGCTCCTCCTAGAAATGGACCCCAGCGTCTGGAATCCCGGGATCCACACACACTGTCAGCAGCGGGGAGCACCCAGCACAGAAAGGGGAGCCAGAGAGTTACGCCATCCACTTCCCTGTTTAGAAAAGAGTCCAGGGAACTGAAAACTCATCTGTCGCTTTTGAGCAGTTGACATCAAGACGGGGAGCATCAAGTGAGATGTTGTATTACCTCCTCTAGGGCATGGTTGGCTGTTAGTTCTTGTAACTTGGAAGGCTGAGCCCCGACATTTTTCATGAGACTCATGACTGCCCTTCCAGGAAGGAATCGTTGCTGTCCCTATTTCACAGGTGAACAGACTGAGGCTCAGAGAGATGAGACGATTTGTCCCGGTTGCAGGACAAAGACTCTCAAGTCCAAGTTTTCTGGCACTGGAAACTGTGGGCTATGTGCATCGTGAGACAGCATTTCAAAAACTATGAAGAGTTACACAAATGTCAGGCATTAATAACTGTTATTGCTTCCACCTCCCAGAGCTTGGCCTGACCACCCTGTACCTCAGACCTGCTGCAGCGCACGCTCGGCCTTCCCTGAAGGGCTACGGGGAGACCCGGAGGCACAGGCTCCAGCCACCTGTAAATTGGGAGCTGTGTCCAGCTCTGCCATCTAGGAGGCCCTGCAGGCTGCACCCACTGTTCCAAAGCACAGGGATGGGCGAGGGCGTCCGGCCTGTCTCACCTGGTGTGAGGCCGGGAGGTGCCAGCCCTTGAGACAGCTCAGCGGTGCAGCCTGGGGTGTCCCTGGGGGTTCACCTTCGCTGGTATGCATTCCTGTTCTAACGTGTTGGAGCAGTGGGCTAATGCAGAAGGCAGAGAAAGGGAAGTGGGGGACGGTTCTGAAATTTTTGGAAGTTAAATACTCCCCAGGAAACATTTTAATGTACAAAAGACATATGGATCGAATTTTCCCAAAGAATACACATGGATTGAAAAATTCAAGGGTAAGGATGGAGGTTGATTTTTTTTTCTTTTTCTTCCTATGATTTGGTGTTTCTCCCCCAAAGCACATTTTAGGGAATTTTACTGGCAGCCAAACC